TTCTCAAGTAAACAAGGGTTAGGGTTAGAGTTAGGATTAGGATTAGGGTTAGGGTTAGGTTTAGGGCTAGAGTTAGGGTTTTTGTTAGGTTTAGGGTTAGGGTTAGAGTTAGGATTAGGGTTAGGGTTAGGGTTAGGTTTAGGGCTAGAGTTAGGGTTTTTGTTAGGTTTAGGGTTAGGGTTAGAGTTAGGGTTAAGAACTGCCGGGCATTTAGGAAAACGAAGACCGTGCCCGGCTGCCGGGCATATAGCCACAGCGTTTAGGAAAACGAAGACCGTGCCCGGCTGCCGGGCATATAGCCACAGCGTACAATGTAGGCCCTATCATTATCATACATCACAAAAATCTAACCTGCAAATACATTCTCACTTGCTGTTACAGTCTGAACTTACCGAATAATGAAAAGACAAGAATATAGAAATAAGTTTTTACAAAACTACTCGATATAAGTGTAAACAACGTCATGTTTGAGTCGTTTTCATAACATGAACAACAACGTATGAAAGGTTGCTAAGCCTGATGTGGCACAATCTGGTTCGCCGACAGAGGGCAAGGTGGTAATTGTTAAATTTCCCAAGATGTTGCAATAAAAACTCCCATAGTGAAATAGCTCGTAGGATTGTCATATATAGAATGGAATCGAAAATTGATTGTTTTTGGATAATTTATCATTATTATGGAGGAGTTTCGTTCGTTCATTATTTTTTTTAATGGTTTATAGTTGATTTCATTTGAACAATAATCTCGCCAAGAGGTGGCGCTGGCGTATATTACACTCTTCCTCGCTGGAGCTGAGCGCTGGAGGAGTTGCCACAGTTGCTTGTAGTTACGCCATGTCTGAACCCACAGTCCTGCATATAATTAACCTGCATATTATACCCACATTATAATTAATCTGTAATTAACAATAGCTGCATGGAAGAGCCGAATGACATTAGACTTAGAGGTGGTTAGGGCAAGTACCTGCCATACAGCATCCTTGCTACAACACACGAGAAATATAATAACGCTCAAAAATAGATTCGGTGTGAATGACTGCGTGGTAGTGAATGCACGCATACTCGAAGAAAAATATTGGATGAATCAGGATGATATAAAATAAATGGAGAAGTGCTAGTTAAAAAGTCGTCGAGAAGAAACGCGACAAAAAATGGTAAGGTCGAGACCAAACTTTAATATACGCTACCACCATCATGAAGTCCTGATGTAGGAAGCCATGAGTAGGTGCTGTCGGCGACCTGACGTCACGAATGAGAGCATCGTGTATTGACGAGGAGCAATGTAATGTAAACAAGATATCGATGACATACACCGAGGTAATCTTGGGAAATTCAGAAAAAAAGTCGAGAGTAAAAACAAAACAGGATTTAAATCGAATCCATCTGGCACAATTTAGGAGCGAAGCCTCGACCACAATGAGAGCCAGCTATGATAACAATAGACGCATGTCGTTGCTTACGAACGGAGTTTGTGTATAAATAGGATCGTATTGATATACGTGCTATGGTACGTACGCGAATGCACCGAGATCACTGTGATAACTGGTAAAAATATGGGATGAACGTATTTTGAAATACGGTAATAGCAGAGGTGAAGATAAGAACCGTGGCGTTTGGATTTGATACAAGCGCATCGAAACATAGAAGAATAGAAATAGGGATGCTGCTGCTACTGCTGCTGCTATTGCTGCTGGTATTGTTGCTGCTGCTGCTGTTGCTACTGCTGCTGCTGCTGGTATTGTTGCTGCTGCTGCTGCTACTGCTAGCGCATCGAAAGCTGCTAAGCGCATCGAAAAATAGAAGAATAGAAATATGGATGCTGCTGCTATTGCTGTTGCTGCTGGTATTGTTGCTGCTGCTGTTGCTACTGCTGCTGCTGCTGGTATTGTTGCTGCTGCTGTGCTGCTGCTACTGCTGCTGCTGCTGCTGCTGCTGCTGTTGCTGCTACTGCTGCTGCTGCTGCTGCTGCTGC